CTTGGCGGCGGCTCCGCTGCCGCCGCCGCCGCCGCCGCCGCTGCCGGATCGCGTCTGTTGCGGTGTCGTCTGATGCCGCTGCTGCTGAGACGCCAGCGGCGGCGGCGGTGGTGGCGGCGCGTCGCCTGCCTCCTCTCCCTCTCCCTCTCCGTCTTCCTCCACGACAGGGCATACCAGCCGGCCTCGCATACTGCCAACGCCGGAGCCGTACGTTCCCAACATCGAGTACGGCATAGGGATTTCCGACACTGGCGGCAGCTTGGACCCCTCCGCCGAGTCGCCACTGCCGCCAAGGACGATCATGCCGCTGGCGAAAGCCCCCTCGCTGAAGCTGCCGCCGCTGGCCAAGCCGCCGCCGCCGCCGCCGCTGCCGTAACTACCGAAATCCCCTCTGGGCCGCATGGGTGACGGCAACCGGGCTGACATTGATCCACGTAGGACGTACGGCGACGCAATGCCGTTGCCGCTGATGCGACCCGCGCTTCCCGCGATGACGGTTGACAGCACGCGAGCGCCGGAGTTGCCGCAGCCGCTGCCGCCAGCACTGCCGCCGCGCGCATCTGCGCCCTAAGGGTCGCTGGTGCCGTCTGCGCGGGGCGGCTGCTGCGATCAGGTGCCGTACGAAGCCCCATGGCTGCCGCCATGGTGCCGTACTTCTCCCGGAACTTGTTACCTTTGCCAGCGTCGCCCAACGACCTGCCTGACTGGTTGCCGCTGCGGAACGCACTGGCGGGTGTTGTGGGAGCCGTGGCGGCGGCTGAGGCAGTGGCGGCGGCGGCGGCGGCGGCGGCGGCCCCGCCGCCGGCGGGAGCTTCAGCACTCGGCTCCACTTCCTCTTCGGCGCCGCCACTGCCTCAGTCGCCTTCATCATCTCCGTCGCCTCCGTCGCCGCCGCCAAGGGTAATGCCCTTCTCCGAGCCTTCGCCTCCGCCGCCTCGCGCCTCCGCTGCCGCTGCGGCCTCCGTGCCCAGATCCTGGCGGAGGCGGGGTCGAAGTCCAGGAGACACCCTCTCTGGCTCGGCTTCCCGGACATCACGGCATCCCGCTCCGATACCATCCTTTCCATCACGCA